ACTCATTCTTATTTCTTCAATGGCAGATTTAAAGTGAATTACAGCCTTAATCCACTCTTTCATTCATCGTTTTATCTCAAAGACCCGTGTGATCCTCCTGCATTGGTGTGCCTGGTTCCTGCGTATGAGGCGTCCGGGTGAGGAGCGAGTGCGTTCAGCCTGTCACAACAAGCCTCGACGGAGCAGCCTGACCAGCATAGACCTCAACATGAGCACCTCAGCCTCCCAATGCACCAATGGCAACATGCTCTATGTCGGCGTGCGTGGCCTGGAGAGCATTCACTGCTCCACTGCTGCCACCTCATCTGACTCCGGGGTCCTCTGCGGACGCCTGGTAGGACGGGCAGGCGAGGACGAGATGCTCATCCCAGCAGGTCAGGTCACCCCAGTTGGAAGCCTAGAAATAGAGATGGCCAAGATCCTGGATGAGGTGCGCTACATCGCGAAAAGGTTCCGCGACCAAGACGAGGGTGAGTCTGTGTGCAACGAGTGGAAATTCGCCGCCTCCGTTATCGACAGGCTTTGTCTCATGGCTTTCTCACTCTTCACTATCCTCTGCACTATTGGTATCCTCATGTCAGCACCCAACTTTGTAGAGGCAATTTCCAAAGACTTTTTCACTTAGTTGTTCCCAGGAAATAAATGATTCATCAAATATAAAAGCCTACACCAATCACTGTTCTCACAAAGTAACCATTTTCAAACACACGGGGAAGTCATTTGGATACACTTACCCATACTTAATCCAAAGTTAAATGTAGAATGTATGTGATACATAAACAGCTGAATATATGCATCACATTACATTATTGAAAACTAGCTTTTCTCTTTTCTATCACACAGCCTGGCTTCACACCCTGATCCTCTTGTACTGTATGATTCTCTAAACTGCATAGTATTGCTTCAATGATACAATTTGCTAACCTGGCAAGAATGCTGTTATTAGTTATGCTGTGTTACCTGTGTATTACTGTGCATTATAATGTTTCTGTAATGTGTAATGTGGTCCATATACATAACGGCTACTGTACCTTCTATTCAAATCTATTTCATGTAGCACATTTCTATATCATACATTACATTGTATTACAATCATAAGTAGAACCAAAAGCCTTGATTTAAATGTCTTCTTACTTGGTTTTACTTACTGTTTATATTTGTATGATTTGATCACTAAGAATTTCTCATAGTTCAAAATGTTGTATGTTTCATTTTTTATCAGTTACTTTCAATGGGTTGATTCTTGTCCACTTTGAAGATTCATAAATAAATTCATTCAATTCAAAAACAATCCCTTGTCAATGACAGATGCTCACATGGGACAACGGGAATAATGTCCTTTTTTACACTTTTTCAGTGTTTTTTTAAAAAACCATACACGTAAAGCAAATGTGGAGCTGTTTATGAAGCAAGAGTTTAACCTTCTGAAAACTAGACAGAGGTTCTAGCAGTAGGATAGTACGTGTCATCTTAAACCCCAGAATTAGTTTCTCACACGTCACAGCCAACAAACTCAAATGCACTACTCTCAATGAAGACGTTTTCTTGCAGTGAGGTCCGAGGCCTGGTGAAACAGGTGAGTCCACTTTTTTCAGTAGGATTCTGTCCAAAAGATCTCCCCAGTTTTCCACACTGGAGTTTCTGCACAAAGGAGAAGCTGGTGAATAGAGAGAGAACAGGAAGCAAACGCTAGACTTCACTGATTCAATGAATCAGGCAAAGACTGAAGGAATTCCTCCATCCTAAGTAGCAGCGGGTCACAGGTGATTACAAACAGGTGAGATGATTACCTCCTTGTGGTAATTATACTCATATTTTCACCAGAAAGAATTTTAGTTTCTGCCTAATACCACTGAGCTTTCACACATCAGTTGTTAATTCACGGATTTCATCCTTATGTCCATCAGTTCAGTGGAAAAAATGTTGTTACATTAGTGCACACTGGATGCATAGCAATAGTGATTGTACTATGCTTTATTAATCTAACATGTGAGATGGAGTGTACCGTTTCTTTTAATGTACCATGACAAACATGCATCTATCCATCCATCTAGCATCGGTCTCCTCAGTTCCCAAACACTTACACTGATCAAAGAATAGGTGATGCAACACAGTGGTAAACAGTGCCTCCACATTTAAAGGCGTGTTGCTGTTATGAGTGGCTGTGTGCAGACAGGAATTGGACCCAAGGTGCAGACTCCGGAGACAGTCGTGAACTCAAAAAGGCTTTAATTAGGTACTCAAAAATATAACATAACTAAAAAAAACTCAAAACACCCCCCAGCACACACACACACACACCTCCTCGTCTCACTTTCACTCTCATCGACAACATCTGAAATCTGAAATATGTCTTTGTGCTCTGACAATTTCCTCCTGAGATTTTCCTCTGCTCTCTCCCTCTACCTGTCTGTTGTCTGTTAGCTGTATACACAAAAATCAGCAGTACATTTTTGAAAATGCTGACCGAGTTCACGGTGTTGTTGCAGACAAGTGTGCGAAGAGACAAAAAGAGGAGCAGGCGCAGAGGCGCAGTAGAGACTGACAGCTTGAGAGACTCGATGAAGCATTGTGGGGAGGGGAGGAGAAATTGAGGTTAATGCAGACTGACTCGGGGATGAAAGTGTAAGGTGAGGAAATGTGGAAGATATGGTGAAACAGCAGGATGAAGGAGGGAGCTGACAGCTGTTTGACAGGCAGTGGCAGAGAGTGCTGAATGAGCTTAAATACTAAGCTCACTGCACGCACTCCTATACCAACATTTACCAGAACAATGAGTTTAAGGTGTATGCTGTGCTAATGGATGTGCGAGCCTTCGTCAAACACTTTCTCACAAGATCGGGCTGTCACATGAACTCTTTTGTTCGGGCTTTAGGCAACACGATCTGGTCCATTTTTACATAATTAAACAGTCATCCTAAAGTAAGTCAAATAATGCTGCGTGTCAGTCTGTTTTGTTGGTTGTGAGTTTGTGTTAGTTGTGTGTGTGTGTGTGTGTGTGTGTGTGTGTGTATGTGTGTGTGGTGTGTGTTGTGTGGTGTGTGTGTGGTGTGTGTGTGTGTGTGTGTGGTGTGTGTGTGATAAGGTTCCATTGAGAGTCAGCCTGAATAATGCAGGCAGGTGTATTGTTGTGGCCAATGGGCCAGGTGCTAATATGGCTGTCTGAGGGTGGAGGGTCAGACACAGCATGACTTTAATGGATGTCACCATGGGAAAATGAAATCGGACCTCAGAGCTCATGTGACGAACCATCCCGTCTGTGTATGTGTGTGTCTGTGCATGTGTGTGTCCTTGGGGATTTATGCTAAGTCTTTGCCTTGTTTACTTAATGAAGAGCCTTTCTGGTTTTCGGAGAACAAAAAGTTCTGTCAGTGTGAAAGAATATCTTTGCTGAATTGATCAATTATACAGTGGATTTAATGACAACTCAAACGGATTATTTAAAGTAATTTTTAATCATTATTCAAATATTTCTTGTACATTTATGAAGAAAGTTTTCACAGGAGTCACTCCATGATTCAGTAGCTTGTAGAACCACTTTTAGCAGCAATAACTTTGTTTTCTGTATAATTTTATCAGTCTGTCACGTCGTTGTGGAGGAATTCTGGCCCACTTTTCTTTACAGTGCTGCGTCATTTCAATGAAGTTTCCAGGCATTCATTTATGCACCTGTTGGACTCTAAGTCTGGCATATGACTGGACTGTTGCAGCTCCTTGGTTTTTCTCTTTTTCAGCCTTTGTGTTGTAACATTTGTTGCTGTGCTTGGCATCATTCTTCTGTTGCATGAACCAGTTTCAGTGAAGGTTTAGCTTTAACCTGTAGAGTCTGAGGTGTGGCTCTTGGGTTTTGTGCTGTTTCTCTGAGCATAACACAGTCTGACCATGGGGTGAGTTTCCTGGGATGTCCAATCCTGGGAAGATTGTGGGATTGTAGCATTGTGGCAAACCAGCAAACTGCCTTAGTACCAACTTGTATGGAGGTGCTCACACTTGCTGATGATCAGTTAATGAAGTTTGATCAGCTTCTACTTACCCTGTGAATTTCTATAGTAGCAGGAAGGGTGTACTTAGTCTTTTACACGACTCGTACGGCTCCCATTATGTTTAGAATAAAGTATTAAAGTTTTGATCAGTGTTTAGTTGCATACTGTTCATTCAGTAGTCCTGTGTACTGCATACTGTCCCGGGTGGCCATGACTGTATCGACAGATTTGTCAAAAAGTCCAATTTAGGTTTAATCTTTAGCGGTGAGGCCTGAAGTGTTGTGCCAGTCCTCCTCAGATAACATTAGAATAGCCATAAGCATATACTTAACGTATACGTAACCCAATACAGGCTATTGTGCCAAACAGACGATGCAGATGAAGTAAATGCAAATTATGTCACACTCAGCATAAGTGTCTTTTTGTTTGTTTGTTTTTTTTTGTTCTACATATGAGCTACATACTAACTTGAGCTACGCTTAGTTATAAAGCTGTATAATGTAAAGTGTATTTCTGCTCTGACGTGATGAGAGAAGATCTACTGAATTTACTGCACCGTGGAGGTTAAAATGGGCTTGAATTAACTAAATGACTAACATGCACTGTATATAAATACACACAAACAGGCACACACAAGGACACACACTGGACTAAACACAGGTCTGTGTAGAGTAAAGGGGTACAGGGCACTTCATCAGCACGTGTGTTGTACATTACAGTGCCCTCTGATGGGGAAGGGGCAAATTATATAT